AAAGCTGAGCCCTTTCTATGTTAAATCAGGCAAAAGGCCCCCATAAGATTATCTATAAAGATAAAATGTATTCAACTTACCTTTTACTATTTAATAAAGATTCCGGAATTAGTAAAGTTAAATGTTAAGCTGTGGAATTTTTCCTGAGATGTAAATATTTTCTTTCCAAGGGGAACATAACTTCAAAGTTTAGGGTTTATTGCCCTTTAGGATATAAGCTGGTTTTATAACTGAGCCAACATTATTATACTAATATTCATTTATTAAATTGTTAATAAGGACTAACTCCTCAAATGCTCTTTGAGCCAATCTTATCATCTTACAGATTTCCTCATTAATTAATAAGTAGAATAAAATCTTTAATATGCAGTCATGTATTTGCATGAGATTTTTAATTTTACAATTTTGAAAATTACTTTTTTAGCATGGCTTACCATAATTTATCTAACTATTCCTTAATTTGGAGGGCATTAGGCTTTCCTTACGTTTGGTATTAGAAATAGTATTGTGATGAACAAAACTTATAAAAATATATACAATTTTTTAAATTTAACTTTTAAGTTTAGGGATTCATGTGCAGGTTTTTTATACAGGTAAACTTGTGTCATGGGAGTTTGTTGTACAGGTTATTTCATCACCCAGGTATTAAGCCTAGTACCTATTAGTAATTTTTCCTGATCCTCTCTCTCCACCTGCCTTCCACCCTCCAATAGGCCCCAGTGTCAGTGGTTCCCCTCTATGTGTCCATGTGTTCTCATCATTTAGCTCCCACTTATATATAAGTGAGAACATGGGGTATTTGTTTCTCTGTTCCTGCCTTGGTTTGCTAAGGATAATGGCCTCCAGCTCCATCCATGCTCCTGCAAAGAACATGATGTCATTCTTTTCATGGCTGCATAGTATTCCATGCAGGTATATGTACCACCCAAAATATGTATAATTTTCCTCATCTCTGATAGAAATTCTTGGATTTGTTACTAAGTGGTTTATATTTTTGTTGTTTTGAAAGTCTAGAATATAACAATTTTTACATATTCCACAGTCATTTCCAAACTAAATATGTTTTCTTTGGTTACAAAGTTCAAGATTAGATATGTATGTATTAAGTCAATCTTTTGTAAAGATAGCTTCTTTAATCTATCTTCTTTAAGATAGCTTCCTACAAGTATTATTTCTGGATCAAAGAAGAGTCTTAATTTTTTAAGTCATGTTGCTTAATTTTTTAAATCACTCACTAATGTCAGTGCAGGTGGAATGTGGACTAATGGTACAATCCTCTTGCCCTTCAAGAGGATGTATGGATCAATCCTCAATCACAGGGGATTATAATAATGCCGCAACACTTATCTCCACCCTCCCAACAATAAACATTTTATGTATTTTAAACATCTGAATATTTTGTAGACATAATGTCTAGCTGTTTGTTTTACGTTTTTGTTTACTAAATTGATTACTGCTGAGGTACATATTCTTCATATATTCTGGAGTTTTTGCCCACCTATTTGTATCTCTTATTTGAGAATTGCAGATTTATTGTTTATTACCCATTTTCCTGGTAAGATACTTGTCTTTTATTCATTGATTCATAAAACTCCTTATATATCCTCTGACATCTGGTTGCAAAGTTTCATCACAGTATGCCTACTATTTCTTAATTTCATTTATGGTGTGTTTTGGGCATACAGAAGTTTTTATATTTTATGTAGTCAAAATTATTTTCGACTTTCTTTTGTATTTAGAAAATGTCTATATATTTACTCATATTTATTTATAAATCTTATATTTACTAATACAAGATTGTCAATGCTGCATTATCTAATTGTCTAGTAATTCAATTTTCTGCATTAACTCTCTAATATGTCTACAACTTATTTTGGCATAACATGCAATGTAGATATATATATAATAGACATATTTTTTCAAGTTGTATATATCTATACCTCTACATTGTAGAGGTATATATATATATTAACTTTTTTCAAATTGTTAACCAATTTCCTAAGAATTGATATTAAATAATCCTTTATTTCTTTTCTGATACGAAATAGTGACTTTTAAAGACATGGTATTCTTATCTATAAATGTTGTGTCTAATATCTGTTCTGCTCTCCAAAGCACGTCCATTCTTGCACAAATACCCACTATTTAAATTAACTATGTAGTACTTTTTAACAACTGCAGTGCAATTCTTTTCTTGTATATCTAATTTTTTTATGTTCTTGCCTACACATTTCTCTACATAAACTTCAAAATTTGACAATTTTTTATTTTAATTGAAATTACAGTCTTAAAATTAACTGGGAACAGTTGGTGACTTGGGAAATATTGAACATTTCAGGAACATAAAATGTTCCTTTTATTAGACTCATCTTTAATATTCATCAGACACATTTTTTGGTTGTTTTCATTGATGGTTCCACATAGTTTTTCTTGGATTTGTTACTAAGTGGTTTATATTTTTGCTGTTTTGAAAGTCTAGAATATAACAATTTTTACATATTCCACTGTCATTTCCAAACTAAATGTGTTTTCTTTGGTTACAAAGTCCAAGATTAGATATGTATGTTTAAGTCAATCTTTTGACTTCTCAAATTCTCTGTATCTTATCTCTTTTATCTACATGATATGGCTCAAAGATAATTTCACAACAATTTTAGGCCTGATATTTGTAGTCATATGTGTCTCCTCGTTGCTCCAAAGCAGGTATTATATCAGGATAGGTCTTAACCAAAGATCAGAACCTTGCCTGTACTTTATAATCATCTGAGTAGCTTTTTTAAAGTATGAATTCCTGATTGCACATCCCAGAATGATACAAAAAGAACCTCTGCAAGTGAGGGCCTGGGCTTTAATATTTTTATAAAGGTTTCACAAATGATTCTAAGGAACCAGAGTTTAAAATCACTATCCTAAATAATGATCATAATCATGTAAAATGTACTAAATAATTCTACAGCCAATCACATATCACATTAACAGGCATATAAAATGCTGTCTGGATGCTCAGAATATTTGCCTATTAAGCCACCATCAATGTAGCCTATGTATCTGAAAGGAAAACACTGAGCTTCGGAAATCTGAGTTCTAATTGTGAATCTCTAACAAGCTCTACCTTCAACTTGAATAGCTTTTTTGTTGTATTCCTCTCCTCATTTTCATTTGTAGTGTCAGTGGGATGAAGTAAAGGATCACTAGGAGAAACTCTAAGCTCAACCACTTAAAAACATTTCTATATCACTGATACATAAAAGCAGGTCAAAAAACGAACAGAACAAATACAAACAGGGATCATTTGAAGGTATGCGAGTAGTAAGAGTCTTGCTTAGCCTGACAATGAAGTTTAATATGGAGTTTCACACTCAGATGGCTTCAGGGGCCAAATAGTTAACATCAATTTACAAAGCAGCCAGGTCTCAGAGGTACATATGGTTCCCAACTTATAATGGTTCGACTCAGGAGTTTGCAACTTTACATAGTACAAAAGTGATACACATTCAGTAAATTGTACTTTGTGAATACCCATACAACCATTCTGTTTTTCACTTTCAGTACAGTATTCAATAAATTACATGAGATGTTCAACATTTTATTATAAAGTAGGCTTTGTGTTAGATGATTTTGCCCAATTGTGCCTCAGCCTCCCGAGTAACTGGGATTACAGGCGCCCACCACCACACCCGGCTAATTTTTTGTATTTTTAGTAAAGACAGGATTTCACCATATTGGCCAGGCTGGTCGCGAACTCCTGACCTCAGGTGATCCACCCACATTGGCTTCCCAAAATGCTGGGATTACAGGCATAAGCCACCACGCCCGCCCCTGAGCATGATTAAGGTAGCCTAGGCTAAGCTGTGATGTTCAGTATTTTAGGCATATTAAATGCATTTTTTTACTTAATGATATCTCCAACTTACAATGGATTTATTGAAACATAACCCCATTGTACATAGAGGAAGATCTGTATAGGGTTTATTGTCAACTTAAGATTTATGCAATGTCTGAAGACATTCCAGTTCAATTATGTAGACCAGTAGTCTCCAGAGCAGGGTGCCTTTAACCCAGGGGCTACACCAAACCCATTGGGCTGCACTAAAATAATAAACTTTATTAATATTTAGTATGTGGATAGAAGTAATGAATATAAAAATTTATAAATTAGAATACCTGTATTTGAGAAGGATACTCAAAACTTTTTCACTCATTTGATCTATGATTTTAACAGAGTATTTGAACACCAATGTTATGAATCAGTTGCTTATCCTTAAAGCAGTTACTTTAACTTCCCTGAACTCCAAATTCATTTGTAAAATGGGACTAATGGCAAAACCTTCCTTGTATGACTATGGTGAGATTTAAATGAGAAAATGCATACAACTCTCCATCCATGTTAGATGCTATTATAACCAAATAGTATCCAAAATAGCTCTCCTCTGCCCTGCTGCAACCATTTCTCATCTGGCCTTCCTAATTCAAACCCTTCTGCTATATTAAGTCTGTTAACACAATTATTTATCTAGGTCACTGCCTAAACATGTCACAATCCTGCTTAAAACACACCCTTGTTCATGCGCACATGTGCACGCATCCACACACACATCAGTAGTTGGTTTGCCACTGCCTATATAGAACACAAACTCAATAGCACACCCAGCAGCCAAGACCATTCACAAACTGACCCTTTTCAACTTTTCAGACTATTGTGTCAGCACTCATTGATACCAGCTCGTGGTTACAATGGCCCATTGGCACCAGACTCTGCTTTCAATGTTCCAAGCATTTTGTTTGTCTCTTTGGTGAACTCCTTTCCTTTGCATTCCCCTACCCTACCTGACCAACAAAGTCCCGCTATTTATGCTTGTTGGTTATTTAATATTCCCAGAGTAGTAATAGGAGTAGAAAAATTAGAATGTTTTTAAGATGGCTTGGAAGACATCACAATTGCCAATTATGACAAGCCAAATGAGGAGTTGTCATGAGACTTAAGCTGAGGATTCACCAAGCTTAAAACTATCCAGGTTGATATGATTACTGTCCAGAGGGCTTGACATTTACAATAAAAAACAGAGGAAGCTAGACCTGGAAGCAAGAGAAAGACAGGGCATGGGAAAAAGAACAAAGCAGGGAAGAGGAAATACTACTTCTATTAAAAAGAAACGATAGAGGCTACTTACTGAGTAAGCTAGATGTTTGATGATCTGTAAGTCATTCAGTGATTGTTTTTCTTTCCTCCTCTGTCACATTGAGGGAGCTGAGATTGAAAATATATGAGATTCAGATTTTAACATTGTGTTATACTCTACAAACAGATAAAAAGTGTATGTTTGCATTTATGTTGTTCACATTTAACCTACTCTGTGCGTGTGTATTTAATCCTGAAATCAAAAGGAGGATGTGTTGGTCCTTTATACTTTGGACATAGAAACTCTCTACACTGACCTAAATAAAATAAGTGTCGTGTAAATATCTGAGTAACAGGAAAGCAATTATCATCTTACGGTGAAGAGAGAACCACAATAAATAGATATTCCAGATGGGAAGTTATCCTGACTCAATCTTCACCTCTTCTTTATTACCCAGGAGGACTAAGGTTACCATTCCAATTAGATTCCTTTATTTTAAGGATATACAGGTGGTTTTTTGGTTTACATAGTTCGTGTGTTACTCCTTAAGAATCATTTGAATATTATATTTCTATAAACTAAATTATTTGAAATAAACCAGAAGCCCTCACTCTGCAAAGAAAACTTGTGATGGATTGTTTTGTGAAATAAGGAAATTTTGGTATGATACACACTCATGAGTGTCTGAATATCGGGCTTTTTAAAAGTTTAAAACATCTAGAAATGCATGTATAAATACAAATAACATAAATTGTACATATAAATGTAAATGTATATAAGGCAGAACAGCTGAAATGAAAGTGGTCATCTAAATCTGCGTGTGCTGTCCAATACGATAGCCACTAGCCACATGCGGCTATTGAGACTTGAAATATGGCTGGTCCAAATTGAGATGGATTATTAAGTGAAACATGTGCACAATATTTTGAAAACTTAATACTAAGAAAGGTAAAATACCTCATAAATAATTTTATATTAATTATACCTTGAAATAAGATTTTTATATATTGGATTAATAAAATATATTATTAGAATTAATTTCACTGTTTTATTCTTTAATGTGGCTACTAGAAAAATTAAAATGACATATATGACTTACATTGCGTTTCTATGGACAATGGTGACCTAAAGGCCTTCAATATGGAGTTCTACCTAGAAAAATGCATGCACGAGACCTCTACGCCTATATTCATCACAGATACAGAAAGATAGAAATTACAGATTGTGAGCAAACTTTATTCTATTTAAGTAGAACTTTTTTTTACTCTATTAAACTAAACATCTAATTTGGAATGGATTCCCCTGATGACATTTACCCCAAAATTTTGTATGTAGATAAGATAAAAATATTGTCAGTAATGTTGAAAGCCTTTCTTCATTAAAAGATTTTCTAGTTGCGCTCAACATGAGCTTTATATAGGCTGCTTAGAAAAGAAAGTACTTGAGTAGCAGAATGTACAAAAACAAACAAGCAAAATGCAAATACTGGAAGCACAGAAGTGGCTTCAGTTATCAGGCAATGCTTGCTGCATCTGAAGTCAAAGATATATATGCTAATTTAATTAGTGATTGAATAACTAAAAGTAGGAGTTTTAATCTGGTTTAAAGAGTTATTTTCTTTCATTAAAAAAAAAAAAGACAAAAAAACACTTTTCCTTGAAAAGTTCTGAGCCTATTGCTTAAAAAATGACCTGGCTTGACTTAGACATACACATTTTTCAAGGACATTAATATTCTTTTGTATAATACTTTTGAAGTGGGATGGCTATCCTAATACATGGGGCTAAAATTTTTAAATCCCCATGAGACTTTTCTCACAAAGGTTTGGAGCTGTAACTAATTAGACATGAAACACGCCTATGGAGATTCAGGTTCTCAATAAAACTGTCCTGATAGCAAAGACATTTTGGAAGACAAAACTTTGTTTTTCTCTTTGCCTGTTGTTTCCTGTAATGACTCGTAATAAAACAGAAGGAAACACATTTTAGCCCTAAGACACATCTGGAAGTAATATTTCAAATAATCTTCCTATGGGTCCTACCAGAATGGATTTTAAGCACCCTGGTGACCTACTTCCCTTACTTCTGGAAACTCTCTAGATGAAATCAGAAGATTATTGACAGTACTGTGATGTCCTTGGGGTCTGAGGAAAATAAATATGCATTCCTCTCCTTGAAAACCCACCCATGTTCATAGCAATACTATTTCACAATAGTCAAGAGGCAGAAGCATCCCAGGTGTCCACCAATGGATAAATGCATAAATTAAATGTGGTGTGTACCAGCAAAAATATTATTCAGCCTTAAAAAAAAATGGAAATTGTGACACATGCTACAACTTACATCAATCTTGAAGACATTATGCTAAGTAAAATAAGCCAATTACAAAAAGACAACTACTATACGATTCCACTTGTATGAAGTATCAAGGCTAGTCAAATTAATAGAAAAAGGAAGCAGAAAGGCAGTGCCAGGGAGTAAGGAGAGAGGGGAATGGGGAGTTACTGTTTAGTGGATATAAAGTTTCAGTTTTGCAAGATGGAAAAGTTCTGAAGATTGCTTGCATAACAATGTGAATATACTTAACACTACTGAACCTTATGCTTTGAAATGGTTGAAATGGTCAATTTCATGTTATATGTTTTTTACTACAATTTTAAAATTTTTTAAATAAAATCTTCAGCAGTAATATCTTCTTTCTTTAATTCGACTATTTGACTGATTGGGTCAAGAATACTTGTGCTGTTCAGAAGACAGCAGAAGTCCACTTGAGCAAAAAAGTTCATAGACTATTCAGTGTTGCAACTCAAGGGCCTTAGAAACATCTAGCCACCATCGTGCATGCAGGAGTGAGGCACAGGGAGGCAAAGTGACTTTGACCTAAGACCATGCAGTTAATTTGCAGTTCAACCAGTGCAAAAAGATAAATTCCTTCACATCACGATAACTGACTTCTTACATATCTCAGTGAACCAGTACATTCTCCTGAAACACATATTATTATGAAACGTTTTTTAAAAATGTAAAAACAACTTATGTGCTAATCATTGCTGAGGTCTTATTTTCATCAATTGATTGCTTGTTCCAAAGTTCTTTAGCAAATGTGAACAGAATAAAATATAAAAATGAGGTATCATTAGTATATGACTTCTCTGAATGTCTAGATTTCAGCAATTCATTTTTTCTGGTTTTGGTCTTTAATACTAATATGCATGGCTACTGAATCATTTGTTCAGAAAGCTGCAAAATTGTGAGAAGGGCTATGGTGGGATTCGTGTGAATTGCATGTCTAAAAGGACAGTTTTCTTCAGATGTGTGATTAACCATAATTACTTATGCAAAACACTTTTCTAAAGAGATAGAGGCAAAATACAAAGAAATCGATAAAGGGAGAAATCATGCACCATTGGAGCTTCCTCTTTATTATTCAGAATATTTAGATGATGCCTTCTTACCCTAAAACTTCTCATCCATCTCTACTGCATTCTGCACCCAGCCTTCCAGAAAGCCAGGCTTGCCTAGCCACTGACAAACATAACTCTTTCATACTTCCTTCTGTTTCATTGAGAAGAACAACAAAAATTCCCAATGTTCACAACGAATGTTGACCACAATGCTCACATTCTCTTTCTATTCCAGATGAATTGTGACTTATAAGAATATGCTCAAAGTGGCTTTTGCTTTTAATTCGGTCAGTCTCTTGAGTGCAACATCTCGATAATATTATCATTGTTATTGCTCAAAGGTATCCTTACAACTGTTTATAACTGCAGCTCCCCACCTATCAACCAAAAGCTACCTGAGTGTGCTACAGTGAACTCAGAGGGCACCATGGAATATTTCAGATCATTGAGGGGACATTGCAGTACTTGGTTGCAGGAAACGGGGATGCCACACAAACTAGGAGATCCAGGGAGTTGGTAGTTTCAACATTAACACTACATTTATTAGATGACACCATATTTTTGTGTAGCTGGGTATTCAGAAGTTGTTGTAATATAAATCAAGTACTATGCAAAATTTAGTGTGGAGCGAGAAATGAGGGTAGCATTGCCTAGTTTGAGTCCAAGGTTTGAGAAGTTATGCAGTGTGCAACAGGTACAAATATCCTATCAGTAAATAACTGTGGTTATTTAATAATAAAATAGCAATAGTATTTTTTTCTATACATATGTATTACTTTTTCACATGGCTACTAATGTTGTTAGAACATAAATATATATTGACTTGTTTGGACATAAGCATTTAATAAATAATTGTTAGGTATATATTTTGCCCTGGGGTCACCATGGATTGAAAAATTTGGGAGCTTCTGCTCTAAAAGGTCCTAGCATTGATATTGTGGTAATTTGAAATGTTTGAGTCTCTGCAAATAACTTCTATGGAATACCTGCTTGTTTTATACCAGATTATCGATGCCCCAACATATCTTATTATTTTAAAAGTTGGACAACAGCAGGGAATGAAAATCTACTTAGTAATACCAGTGCTAAATGATTAAATGGTCTCCAACCTAAACTTGAATAGATTCCTTGTTTACATGATGGTTGTAAAGCTTATTAAAGAATTGATCCCTTTTTTGAAGCCATATACTGAAGAGCTCTTATGCTATCTTAAAGCAAAGTACAAGAACCCTCTAGCCTTAGCATTCCTGACCTTGCCAAAATGCATCAGCAAGTGAACATCAATGGTGCCCCTCACAATCGTCTCTCAGTGAGGGTGTTTCCAGCCAAGCACCTTCAGGTAAAAATTTTCATTACTTTACACATTTTCTTGGGAACCAGGTTTCCAGGATGATTACATGTATGATTACAAGTATGATCCCAAGAATGATTACAATGTCATGATGAAACCCATCGGAAGAGGTCATGTATGGGTTTTATGCATCACTATCAAGCCAAAAGAAGTGATTTTGGACCTTCTGGTGTAATATTATTAATCAGTTTCTTGATTACTTAACACATTCAAAGGCTTAAAATGCCCCTAATTTGATTTAAAATGTCCCCTATTACAATCACAATTCTGTACCAGTTGGTTGCAATACATGTGCTATAGGTAGTGATCAGTTTTGATCATGTTTCTCTTTTGCCTTTCTAGTCTCATTTTACTCACCTGTGTCTTTTGCTAAAAGTGACCTCAGATATATTGAGAAAAAGTAGAGTAATAAATTCTGGTAAAAAAAAAAATATATATATATATGGTGAAGCTTATTTGGACTTTCTTGAAGTAATTTAGCAATTTTGCCAACAACATTAATTTCACATCATTCAACACGTTCCTACATGTTCGGTAATAGTAGCTAGTAGCCGAACTATGCGACAACTTTTGGAGACCTGTCTTAATTATCTTCATCCACAATTAGCTAATGACCAGTAGACAAAGAAGAATGTATCCTAGATGTTCCTTTGCCTGTAGCTAGTCTTCATTCATTATACCCTAAGAGATTTTCCTTGTTAAAAGCCATGTGGCTGGAACAGATGGTCTGCATGTGTTATCTCTATCTTTATCAGCATTGAGGACATTTCTGTTGGGTGACTTGACAGTAGCAGAGTCTTCAGGAATCTTTACTCTACAGCCATCTGGCATTGATTTTTCAGCCATAACCCCTGAGGTTTCATGACTCTGTCAATATGAAGGAAGTAATAAGTCTCTGGCCACTGCAATTGCCCAAGTCAGTGACCAGAAACCTCTATACCTACTAATGTAATGCAGAGATAATCTAGGTTTGTTTGTTTGTTTGTTTGTTTGTTTTGAGACAGAGTCTTGCTTTGTCACCCAGAATGGAATGCAGTGGCATGATCTTGACTCACTGCAATTTCCACCTCTGGATTCAAGCAATTCTCCTGCCTCAGCCTCCTGAGTAACTGGGATTACAGGTGCTTACCACCATGCCCAGCTAATTTTTGTATTTTTAATAGAGAGGAGGTTTCACCATATTGGTGAAGGCTGGTCAGGCTGGTCTCAAACTCCTGACCTCAGGTGATCCACCTGCCTCAGCCTTCCAAAGTGCTGGGATTACAGGCATGAGCCACCATGCCCAGCCACAAAGAATCTTGAAATTGGTGCTGTCTCCATAAAAGTCAAAATGTGAGATTAAACTGAGAGCTTGATTTATGTTAATAGTAAACATCTAAACCCAAAAGACCTAAGTGCAACTGTACTTGAACTTCATAGCAGTGAAAACTTGAGTAAACTACAAATATCCTCGACCTCAGTTTTATTGCACGTAAAATAGGAATAATATAAACACTTAAATCACAGAATGATTAGGAGACTAAATTCAAAAGTGATATTCAAACGAGTTATTATTACCTGAGGGGAAAAGTGAGTAATCTGTTTGATTTTAGCATTTTATTGTGTTTAAGTTTCTGTTAGTATTTGAATGATTGTGAGTTACTAGTATAATGGTAATAGCTGGAGAACATTTTTGCAGCAGTAAAATCTTCTGTGGAAGGCAAGCTTGTTTGCCACTTCCTTAATGCAACAGGCAAGTATGCATTTCCTTAAAAGTACCTCGGTAATATGGAACAAAAAGTTACTTTTTAGAGTGCCTCAAATACTTCATACTTCTCATGAAGCTTTCAGTCATGACAGTGCTATCACAACTTAACCTTCTTTTCTTCTAACCCTAAAAATTTGACTTCTGGAAAAATCTTTTCGCAATTAAAATTCCAATTTTTACTTCTATCTTTTTCTCTCAAAAGCTGGGAGATTTTTTGTTTTTTTAGCTTTGTGTTTTCCTTAGTTGCTCTTAATTTGTTTCAAAGCATAGAACATTCTGAAAATCACTTTCTTCATGAACATTAGTAAACATAAACAAAGAGGGAGACATCTTGAATGCTCAGAATTTCCTCTTTCCACTGTCTTCCCCTTAGACACACCGCCCAGGGACAGATAGTTGCCTTATACAGTTTTGGTAGAGAATGTCCAATCCTTTTTTTTTTTTTTTTAATTGCCTCAAGATTGACTCAGTCTGAGGCCTGCTTTGGATGCCACAGCAAACCATTCTGTTCCTGTCAGGGTCTGGAAGAAAAGGGGTTTTTGCTGTCTGTCAGTTCATCCAAATCACTTGAATTCCATTCTTCTCTTATTGCTGACTCTGCCTGGCAGATGCAAAGACACTGAAAAGGACTGATTTCCTGTGATTGAACGAAATGAAGGGCTTCTGTGCTCCTACCATCAGCTTGGGCTACTTTAGCTCTTGATTTAGTTTTGAGGAATGGTCCCTCTTTTACCATCACTGTGTCAGAGTTTCTTTTATTTTAAAATTTCCATCATAAAGAATTTCCTAGCAGCACTTTTATTGGCCAAATACTAAATAATGATTTAAGACAAGTCTTACATACAAAAAACAAGGATGTGTAGGGTTTTGGGGGTTCCCCCCGCCAAGATGCCCAAGCAGTTTGAGATACTCATGGGACCAACTTGTACCACTGTGCTTGAGACTATCTCTGTTTTAGCACTGAAAGCCCAGCAACCCGAGACACCCCTCAGTCGTGGGCAAACTGGGAGAGTTGGTCATCCTAGCACTACTGAACAGTGCAATTGATTTGGGCGATATTCTCCTTCTTTGAGATCATAACTTTCCCTGAAATTGTTTCTACACAAAGCTCCTTTCATAGACATGAGCTCTGGACTCTGTAAGTTCAACTTGTTTAATGGTGACTTGAGGTCAGAGAACTCATTTTAGAAATGAAGTGCCCCCTTCAGTTATAAAATGCTCTCTTTTTTCTAATTCTGAGCATCCCATTTTCATCTTTTTCCTTGTTGTATTCATTTATAAGCTTTGCTTAAAGTCTGTTTTTATGAATTAATTTGATGGGTTTTAACTTAAGTCAGTTCAAAGAGAAATAATAAATAATGCTATTTAAAATAATAACTACAGATTTTTCTCACAGTGGAGTTATGGATGATTTTATTTTCTTCTTTTCTAAATCGCACTGTGCATGTATTTTTTACCAAAAATATCTCCTAAAATCCATTTATAATTAGATTTTAAATAATTTAAATTAAATTGAATATATAATGGTCACCAAAATCCATCTATAGGACTTCATTATTTCTGGTTAGCACTGCCCATGGGAACACACATAGGAAATTATCTAGATCTTCTGTCCAGGAAGACATCATGCCAGAAGAAAAAAAAAGACACTGGTCAGGGTCCGAGAAATATAGTAGAAAAGTTGGAGAATTGTGAAGCAAGTCAGCCATGTGACAAGCTGACAGCATCAGTTGAAGAATGAATGAGATTCAGGAATAAGATGACCAGAGGCAAAGTATATTTTGGATGAATAAAAGAGAATATCAGGAAAATAAGTATCAGAATGTTTTCATTGGACCAGAGAAACTTTCATTCATTTATTCACTGAAAAATATTTAGTGCATGCTTTCTATGTGCAGCATTTATATTATTAACCAAAGGCATAAGAAAATCATTGCCCTTTGGGAACCTATATTCTAGTGTGGTAGTGACAATATTTACCAATATTAATGTAATAAGTATATAGTATTTTTTAGAGTGGAAAGTGCTATGAGTGAAAATAGAGCAGGCTGAGAGGCATTGGGAATATAGATAGGGTGGGTAGAAGGATTGTAGTATTAAAATGCAGACCAGTGAAGGATTCAACCAGTAAAAGTTCTTAGAAGGGACCAACATTACCTGTAGAAAACAGTGAATGTAAACAATGACTTTATAAAAATGTACTCGGATTCAGAACACTATTTGACATCTGACCTGTGAGACTTGGTAGTATGAAAAAGGGATAGTGAGTTAGTCAACTGGATCCTGCCCAGTTTGGGTCTCTTTACCTTCAAATCTGTCTCTTCCTGTTTGCCTTTACTGGAGATGAGATGAGCGAGGCAGAGGTGCTAATAGTTTCCAAAGTATTATGTTTGGGAACTACAGAAAAGTGATTTTGTGTGGGCTACCACTGTCCAGCAAATATTTCCTATTGTGATCTGGGGTGAGATACAACCCAGTAAGTCTTCCTAATGGTGCAACTAGATAAGAGAGGTTTATATTGGTATCCTTTACTCCGATATCAAATGCTGCGGAAAAATATTTTTAGTATTTTAACTAATGATTGACTTTATTGTATATGTGACTACATTTATGTGTTATAGAAGTGAATGATAGACTTTAAAAGATTTTGAACTACATAGATAAATGAAGCCATTAAGCCAGTAATAACAGGAAAGTCCTTTGGGGAGGAAATGGTATATTGCCAGTAACCCGACATCCTGTAATGTACAATATTTAAAGTTTCCTTTTTAAAATTCACTCTTGGAGTAAAACTCAGGTCTGCAAAAAGTGCAGAAAAGATAAGTGTCAATGGATGAATGAATCAATGAATCAATCAATGAATCAATGAAAACAGAGGTAAATGTAATAATAACTACAAATCCTCATGCACCATGGAAACTTAGTCATATATCTACTGCGGCTTTTTATTGAGAAAACCAAGTCTCCCAGAGGAGAAACATTATATAAATTGTACTGTTTAAAAATTGCTGTGTTCATTATGAGGAGCTTAATTATGGTCATCACTTACCGAGAAGAAAATCAAAGTCTTGTCGAAGAATTCATAATAACGAATGTTTCTCATTAAAAATTAATGAACAAATGGCTTATTCTGAAGGTATGGAGGCTGTGGGAATATCATAATTTTCCTTTCTTGTTTAAAGGAATTAATATTCATGCAAATTAGATCCAAATTACTACAGTTTAGGTGGTTACTTAGTACTATAGAATATAGATTTGTTTATTACCGTGGAAGCCAATTATATTTGTCAACACAGGCTAGATTATGTTATGATAAACAAACCTTGAAATCTCAGTGGTTTAATAAAACAAAGCTTTCTTGCTCATTTAAAAAGCAGTGTAAGACAGAATACCCCCTCAAAGCAGTGTTCCTCTATAAGTTGACTCCACAAGCTGTGCTGCTTTTCATTTTATACCTTGGCCGTTTCAACTTTTCAGATCACCGTGGAACAAAGAGAGGTAGAAGGTTGTGCATCAGCTCTTGAATGCTTCAGCCTGAAGTAACACACATCACTTCTGTTCACAGCCCAGTGCCACCTGGTTTCGACGAACACAGCTGGGATATGTGAGCGAGCAGATGGATATTCAGTGAATAATAATGTGCCTACAACAGCAGGATCAAAACCAAAAGAAAAGTATTGGTGAAAGACATATAACCTACTAGGTAGGTACTGCTAGGATTATTTGCATAACACCGGAAGAAAGAAGAGAGAATATTTCAATGCACAACCAAAATCAGCTCTGTACCTTGACACAATAAAGTAATTCATGAATCCATCAATTAGTAATATAATTGCCGCTGGATCCATGTGACTGTAAAGGTACTGCAATAATTGTTCACAGCCAGAGAGGGATCAAAGCATTAATGCAAAAGACATTTTTCTAAGGAAATCCATCTCTCTAAGGAAAATGGAAGGAGTTGGTTCCTTGAGTGTGGAGCTATAAATATCACAGGCAAAGCCCCATTCTTCAGATGGATGTACTATTCTGTTAAAGTCTGAGGAATGCTCTCTCTTTGCCAGATTAATAAGGAAGAGAGTGCCTTGACTGGAAACAAAAAGCTCTCCATTCTGAAGTCTTGTTTGAGAATGCACACAATTTAACTTCACTTTCTTCTTCATCCCTAGGCTAAAATAGCAAATAAATGAAGGACTGGGTTAATTAAATGCATATTTTAACAGCATTTATCTGGCATTGATTGGCTGAGGCCACTTACAGTAAAGCGTGGAATAGTTAATACAAGTGTTGGCCGTCTCCTAAAGGAGGTGACCTCAAGGTTATATAATTGTAGCGGTAATTTATTTAGCTTAAAATGAATGTGTTCTCAATTAGGTTGGTAGGCATTATAATAACACAAGAGGGATTTATATTTGCTTATGTCTAGGCTGTGAGGGTTTCGTTATTGGATTTGTTTGCCTATATTTAGTCCTCCAATTCATGATTCCTCCTAGTTAAGAGCAGGAAGTTTGTTCATGCTGATTAATAGGGGCCCAGTCCTAATGTTGCAGATAGTTACCTAATCTCGCCAGAGGCAGCAAAGGAGCAGACACACAGCACAGATGGCAGGAGACAGGAATATCTGGTGGATTCTGCTCATGGGAACTGTTCCTCCCCCAGTACAGATCCATCAGTGCTTTAAATTTGCCCCATAATTTGGTGCTTTATATCAAAATACTCTACCAATGGGGCACTTCTGAGTTTATCACAGGATTTATCTTGCTGGAATTAATATTTTTATCCATATTGTAATTCATTTAATCCGGTGGTCAAAAAAATGGTAATTCGTGATGTTCTTTGGTTGAATTTGAACTCCTGACTTCGTTTAGATAGGAGAACTAAAATGACCGTTCCTTGGTCAGATGTAGTAAAGACGTTTTTAAAAATAAACATGTGAATTGGTGATTCTTTACCCACCCCATCTACCTGGACCTCTGTGAATATTTGCTTCTTTGCACACATGCTAAGTGTGCAATTAGTCATTCTGTATGAACAAATGTAATTATTATTATTATTTTCATTTATTTACAAGCTTGTCAGAGATGGGGAGCATTGGTCAATCACAAGGGCCAACAGAGCCTGCACTAGAAGTCCAGGGCTCAGCCAGTAGATGTCTCTGTTAGACTCACTACAGTGAAATGTTCATGCCCCCTTGGGGGGATGCCAGCCCTTTTGGGCTCAGTGTAGCCTGTTTGCTAAATCTACATTTTTGTCCAAAATCTTAAAACTATAAAAAGAAAACCTGGCACTAGTTGTACCATACTTGAGTTCCAGTTTATACTGTCAACTTTGGAGCCTGGTTTCTATTTAGATCACCCAATGAGATTCAAGGGCTCACTCACTCTCCTGATGGAGAGAGGGTTACTCTCCCCTTTACTCCCCCTACATAAAATATAACCCTATGTGCCACCTCCCTTCTCCAGGGAAACTGAAGCTAACACTCACCTCATTGTCTGCTGAGAGGACATCTGCTTTGCTATGCAGGCTTTCACCAGGACAAATTTATGGTCGTTGGGAATCATAGGGAGCTTTTTGTGTGTGTGTGTGATCTCTTATGCAACACATTCAAGTAAGTGATCAAATCTGTGAAATGTGCCGGAGATGAAAACTGTCACCAGAGCAAGAAGGAAGGTGTGTAGATGTGTTCTCCAAAGCAAAGAGTGCTCGCTACCAACTCATTTTTGTTTGATGTACTTCAGTGGCTTTGCAACCCAGAGAAGCAGTTTCTTCAGGTATCTGTCAGAAGAGGATACGAGGCCTTTATATTTAAAGGTTACCTAACCAAGTCACAATTACAAATATTCTTCTAATCTTAGGAAACACTGTGCAGTGGAAGGAAAATTGGCCTAGACATTAGGAGACCTGTGTTCTACTTTCTTCTTTCAATTCCTTCTTTCATTCTCTGTGTGATTTTGAGTTACTTAACTTCTATGATCCTGTTTAGTTCTCTGTAATAGGGGATAATGAGACTTACTTCTCAGGATTGTCCTGAGGCTTAAATATGATAATGTATATATAATCCTCCTGAATCATATTAAGTTACTGTTTATTCCTTTTCTCCTCCTTCTTCTTTTCTCATTGATCAAATCAACAGGAAGGCTAAGAATACATTTTTTAAAAAATTGATAAGGGACTTAAGTAGCTAAAATAAAGCTTTGTGATTATTAAAGCATATCAGAGATTTTTATTTACTGGACTCTTTAACACCCTCTCCATTCCTTTGAACACAGGACATGTTTTCAGAGTCAGAAGAAACAATGCAGGTCCTGTACTGTCAGATTGTTCCCGTATTCTTTGGTTTGAAAGCTATTGATTAAGTTATGTTTTCTTAGCTATTAGGTTGTGATAGATGAAGAAGGACATTTGCACCAAGAAATATAAACTATCAGAAGCAAACTATGGATAACTTCTCTAAAAGCCATCCTGTCACCATTGGTTTGTGTGTGGGTTTATTGAGAATCCGCTTTCCTCTTGGTCCTCTGCTGATGAGAAGTCTCGCAGGTTCCTGTTATCAGGGCGTCACTCAATAGCCTGGGGAGAGTATCTCTAGCAGAACATCTCAGTGCTAATTGATAAATCGCATGCTAGATAGGAGTTGAACAATGAGAATACATGGACACAGGAGGGAATCATCACCCATCGGGGCCTGTTGGGGGACGGGGGGATAAGGGGAGGGAGAGCATTAGGACAAATACCTAGTGCATGCAGGCCTTAAAGCCTACGAGTTGACAGGTGCAGCAAACCACCATGGCACATGTAGACCTATGTAACAAACCTGCATGTTCTGCACATATATCCCAGAACTTAAAATAAAATTAAAAAATAATAATAAAATAAAATAACTTTAAAGAGAATCCAAATGAGGGAATTCTGCATGCTCAAAATAATGACAGGAGTGTGTGGGTTGGAGGATGTTCAGAAAAGAAACTAATATTGAGAAAAGGAAAAAAAGCTGGACAATAAATGGAGAAAGAGAGGATGACATTTTAGGTACTGAGAATAAGAAGAGCAAAGGAAGACAAACTTTCTGGAGGAAGTGGAAAAATTCTCCCCTGCTTCACCGAAAGAGTATACTGAAGTTTTGAGTGTATTCACGCCAAACAGATGTGAAGAGAAAATGCAAATCCTCTACTTCCTAAAGCTGCTATGGCCATCACAGTTAGCAAGGGGAGACTACTCCTGTTTAAAACCCCGTGCAATCCAATATTTCTTTAGGTTTGACTCAAGCACCTTGAGGTTGTTGATCAGTCTTACAGAATGTGCTTCCTTTCCTTCATTCTCTCTTTTACTGGCCTCTGATGCAGGGTCTCTTTCCTCTACCAGAAGACTTTTGATTTTAATCCAGCCTCCCCTTTCTCTTAAAGGGCAAGCCAAACTTCTCAATCTGTCCAATAAAGCTCTGAAGATAGAGAGGCAACAAACAGATATGACCCTAGCCCTCTACTGCCTCAGTTTCCTGTTGCCGTTTCTCAAATCTCTAGGCTGGGAAAAGGTCTTGCCTGAGGTGCTCACATTTTTTTTTTCCTTTACAAAAGGACATCCATACTCCCTGTGTTCAAAAAAAAATATGTGTTCATAAAATGTGGTGGGAGAAAACTGACTTACCCATCAAAGGATATAAATTGAGAGACTGTTCAAAAATATTATATATATTTCAAAGCCATGCAAATAAAGCAGAGTTCTTATACGTGTGACTTCGAAACACTTTTAAAAATTCCTTTTCCAATACTGCAGGGGCCAAGGCCACATTTGCCTTCTGTTCACATTTCAAATAATCAGCCTATAGTCAGGATACTTCAATTTTCATTGTTTCAGGGTTTTGGCCCCAGAACAAAAGATGGGAATGTGTCCGGAGTTGGTTCCTTCTGGTGGATTTGTGGTCTCGTTGACTTCAAGAATGGAGCCGTGGACATTCAGGGTGAGTGTTACAGCTCTTAAAGATGGCACAGACCCAAAGAGTGAGCAGCAGCAAGATTTATTGTGAAGAGCAAAAGAACATAGCTTCCACAACGTGGAAGGGGCCCCGAGCAGTTCCCACTGCTGGCTGGGGTGGCCAGCCTTTATTCCCCTGTTGGTCTCTACCCATGTCCTGCTGTGCTGATTGGTCCATTTTACAGGGTGCTGATTGGTCGATTTTACAAACCTCTAGCTAGCTACAGAGTGCTAATTGGTGCGTTTTTACAGAGTACTGTTTGATGCATTTTACAAACTTCTTGTAAGACAGAAAAGTTCTCCAAGTCCCCACTCGACCCAGCTGGCTTCACCCCTCAGGAACAGGCTTATATTCTACCAAAACATATATGTCTCTTCAGCAGCGATGAAATTGCCATATAAAATGCACACCTGATGATTAGAATAGCACCAAACATTTGAATCCATTTGATCCTAAGACTTTTTCTCAATATCCAATTTGTCATGCTTATGAGTCAGGTCAAATGGAAACATTGCACAAAAGATCATGACTATAACCACAATCACTTGGAAATTAATAACGTTTTTTTAAAAAAAGAAGTTTCTGGAAAGGAAAATCTTTAGAAAAGATGTGGCTCTGAAACATTTATGCTCTAAGTCTGTAATTGCCCTGAACAACGGAGTTTAGCTCCATGAAAGTGAAGGCTTTCCCCAGAAGATGATGGAGACTGGCCTTGTCCTGCAGCTGTTTCATAAAGGCCTAGAATAAATTTCAATTTCAGTTACTTCATTGGCATGACAGGGGAGACATGTTTTGTGAAGGTCGATATAACTGAAGCCCTGTCTAAGAATTGATCTCTCTATGTC